TAAAATCCTTTTTCTTTCTCTTTGAAATTTGGAATTCTAAATAAGAAGTCCACAAAATCTCCTATATTCTCCATTAATTTGAAATTAAAATTGTTGGGTTTTTTGATACCCAATAATTCGGGCGATGATTTAAAACAGTTGTCGGATTATTTATCAACACCATGGACTTGGCTCGGCTCGGAGATGAACTACACTTTTGGATGATTCGGGTTAGGGTTGGATGATTATTTGGTTAGTTGGACCATTTAGTGATTAATATGGAGTTGAATATTGGCCCATTAGTTTAGTTTAATTGGTAGCCCACTTAGTGAACCCTAGGCCCAATTAGAGTGACCTAAATTAACCTATATATATGTATTTATCTCCCATCCGTTTTTGGTGGTGTGTGTGTGTTGTAGCAATGGAGAGGAGAGTTGAGAGAAGAGAGGCAACCGAGAGAGAGGGAAGCCATGTGAGATTGTGAGTAAGATTCAACCACTGTTCTTCTTCCTTTCCATACCTTTGTGGATTGCTAACACCACCACCCTTCTCCTTTATGGGGTTAGAGAGAAAGAGAGCAGTCCAAAGTGAAGGTGAAAGACTCGGGTCGAGCCAAGGTAAACCAGTGTTCGTTTGATTGTTTTCTGAGCCCGGAATCAAGATTTATAGAGGGATTTCTGCTACAAATGGTATCAGAGCTTGTGTTGTTGATAAATCTGTAATTCTTAGGGCTAAAAACGGGCTGGAAGTGGTCGGAAACGGATCTGGAAATCAGAGGCAGAACTGTCCAGTTTTTTTAATTTTCTGCCGAATCTGTTTTGGTGTTTTCTGGTGAAACCAAAAGGAGTTTGGCGAAACGGACACCACCGGTGGACTGTACAGACAGAGAAGAAGTCAGAAGGATGACAAGTCGCAGGCGCGTGGCCGGCGCGGCGCGGCGCGGCGCGGAGCGTGGGGTTTTTGGTAATGGCACTTGAGGGGGCGTCCTTCGAAATCAGGCGAAGTGGTCTTCAGACAGAATCTTCCCCATGACGAGATGGACCATGCAGTGTTTTCAGATTTCAGTTTGGAGCAATACAGTGAAAGTTGAATGATTTTGCCCTTGCACGTTAGGGTTCCGGGTGCTATTTTCGTGTTGCTGTGGTTGCTGATGACTTTAGGATGAATAGTAATAGTCCTAAAATGGTGAATTCGCGTTTCGAGATATTTACAGATTTTCAGACGTGGTCCGCTCGGTATCGTATTCTTTGCTTTTTATTATTACAGTTGAAATAAATGTGTAGAGTAGTTTATTTTTTGCATTAGAGGTCATCCTGTGGGGTGACATTAGGTTTGGGGTTACCATGGAGGGGTAACCATTGCCTATTGCTAGACGTAGGAATCATTTATTAATTATTTATTTTAAATTCTTTGTGAATTTGCTGTCAATTTTTCTACATTATTAGAATTGCATGTGGCCTTAGGAAAGTTTACTGAACTATTCTATGTGAATTATGTTCATACTTTACTTGTGGTCATTATTTGGCATTGGTGGCAAATGTAGGTCTAAGGTAAGTGCGAAAAATAACATATTTTAACTGTGGTAAAATTTGGACATAGTTGAAAGAGATTGTCCTAGGCTGATAATAAAAGGAAAGATGAGGATAGAGACAAGGCGAATGTGGCTTTAGGGTCGAGTTATGACCCCAGTGAGGTTTATTGAGAGAGTAAACATAGTCACTGCATATGCATCTGTGTGTGATCCTTTCAGCATGTGTGTGATTGCCTAATTTGTTGCATGACTATATATTGCATTTCAATTTGTTTGATATGTGTGTCTGCATGAATTTTGAGGTAATGTGATTACTTGGTTTGATCGTTTGCATGCATAGTAAGTTAGGATGTATTAGCAGTGTGTTAGATGTCTTTTGATAAGGTGGAGTATAGATGCCTAGGGGTACATGGTGATTTGTATCGGGGGATGTGGAGTGACATTTGGATCGCAAGTGAAGATGTGATCAAATGTGTAGAATCCTTTATCTGTGAAAGCGACCCTGTACAGGTGGAGTGCGAGAGAGGTACTTCTTTCACTTCTGTAAGGTGGAGTCCCATTATCCACGTAGGTTGGGAGAAGTGATGTGGTGATAGAGGATTATCCCGAGAGTTTAGGATCTATTGTGACTTACCAATTAGACATAACTTAAGTGATCGGTTTAGTGAGCATCGTGGGCGATGAGAGGAGATATGTGTTCTCGAGGTGGGAGTAACACGGAATGGGATAGGATAAGTGTAGTGAGATCTTTCATGGGGTCATTTATGCATTTATTGCATATGTGTTTGACCGTGTGCTGATTAACTAGGTGTTAATTTGTAGTTCTGTGTGAACATGATTTTGAAAAGATCTGTGTGTGTTATCCTATATATATCTTCATCGCATGATTGTTTGTTCACTGTGAATACTTGTTTCTACTTGGGTGTTCTTGACCTTAGCCCTGGTGAGTACATGGAGCAAGTATCGTATGTGTTTCAAGTTAGAAACACGAGATAAGGTCTGTTATTACAATTTTATTGGATTACCTTGATTGTGCAAGTATAAACTGTGTGTTTTGGTTACTTGCAGATTATTGGGCATCAAGATGGAGATTGTTGGGTTTTTTGATACCCAATAATCCGGGCGATGATTTAAAACGGTTGTCGGATTATTTATCGATACCATGGACTTGGCTCAGCTCGGAGATGAACTACACTTTTGGATGATTCGGGTTTGGGTTGGATGATTATTTGATTAGTTGGACCATTTAGTTATTAATATGGAGTTGAATATTGGCCCATTTGTTTAGGTTAATTGGTAGCCCACTTAATGAACCCTCGGCCCAATTAGAGTGACCTAAACTAACCTATATATATGTATTTATCTCCCAGCGGTTTTTGGTGTTGTGTGTGTTGTAGCAATGGAGAGGAGAGTTGAGAGAAGAGAGGCAACCAAGAGAGAGGGAAGCCATGTGAGGTTGTGAGTAAGATTCAACCACTGTTCTTCTTCCTTTCCATACCTTTGTGGATTGCTAACACGAGCACCCTTCTTCTTTGTGGGGTTCGAGAGAGAGAGCAGTCCAAAATAAAGGTGAAAGTCTCGGGTCGAGCCAAGGTAAACCGGTGTCCGTTTGATTGTTTTCTGAGCCCGGAATCAAGATTTATCGAGGGATTTTCGCTACAAAAATTTCACTTAAAACTTAATACTTCTCCACTCATTTGATATTCATAAAAAATTCTACATAAAACTTCTAATTTTCTCAACTCCATTGCTTTTCTTTGTAATAATATTAATTAAATTACGATCGTTTCATCTCTTTTTCTTCAACAACTTACTTTAAATGCAAAGTAAGCTCTTACTTTTGCATTTATGCATTTCTTTTTATTTGATTTATACATAATTCTAGAGTTCCTTATTTGGAAATCTCAATTTTTAATTTTCAGAATGGTAGTGTGACGATTTACTGTAGTTATCACAACGAAAATATACCGTTTTGTGAAGAGCTATCGGGACAGCACTTTTCCTGCTGGACTATTCACGAAATGGCAGAGTGTAGTCTTGTTATAGTTATCGAAAGTCACTCTGCCTTTCTAAATTAAGAGTATTTAACACTTTTTATCATGAATTGAGGCCACTTAAACTTAAAAAGAGCTGAGGCCATTTTAATTAAGCATTGTTAATTAGGCTCTCTAAATGAATTCCCCCATTTTCCCGTGGAATCAGCATACAATAATGGCAAAGAAACAAATTTAGCAGATGTCTATAAATCTTATTCGGGTCTCATTCTTCCTGCAAAAAAGTTTCCCCAAGCGAATATGTATAAGTGCTCCGTAGAGAGTATGTATTCCAGTAATGTACATGCAAACATGAAGTGTGGGATGTCCGAATTGAGAAAATGATTGGGTACCTTCCATCAAACATGTATGCCAGTGCCAACGCCGACATGAATCGTGCCATTTTTGATACAGAAGAAGAACAGAGATGAACTAGGGTTGGAACCCCTCCTTCCTCTACAATTCGAAGAGCATTACCAGGATTAAAAGCAAGATTCCAAATAGCTCCTGCAGCAGTCTCGTGGACATCCTGAAAGTGGATAAGTAAATAAAGATTAATCCACATCCATTATAATAAGAAAATATTGACTACATATAGAAGAATAAGTGGCACATCAAATATCATAACAGTGAATTTCATGATAAAAATAGTTATTCATAAGTGATGTAGGCTGCATGCTAAGATACATGTAGTCCCTTGAATTTATACACCCACTAAAACCACAAGAAAATTCTAGATGGAAGGTGACATGAATTTTCCAGTGACCACTGTAAGCTGCTGCAAGAAACTCTTTTCCTGGAATATTGATTTTTCACAGATTCAAGATAACCTCTACACCTCTTGCAGTATTTATGAAAAATCAAGCTCATAAAAGAAATATTGGAGGAGATTTTAATATTGTAAGATATAAAACATAATAGGTCATACTTATTTTTGTTCTTCTGGTTATGATTATAAGTAAACATAATTTAGTGATTAATATTTACAAGACAAAGTTTTAGACAGTTATAATTCATGAACTGGCTTGTATTAGAAACGAAGTTAAATGAATTGGTCATTCAACTCCTCATTAATTTATCACCTTTTTGTAATTTTAAACACTGAGGCTAAAAATAGATCCTTTGCTATTAACTTGATAGCACTACACTGTATCTAAATTCTTTCTAGGAAGAAGATATTGACTTATTAGACAGATATTATCAGAAACAAATAGTGTGACTTGAAAACAAGAATTTTAAGCAGTCCACCAATTAAAAAAAAAAAAAAAAAAGGTTTAGATTGGCATTAAGGGTATTCTTCACGGGGCCTGTAGAAAGAAAAGAAGGGAATTTATTGATGTAATAGCAATTGAATTAATTTCAAGATCATATTAGATTAAAAGAAATCAACAAAAGCAGGCATTGTTAGAATTCAGATGCAAACTTGATTCAAGGTAAGCAAGAACTAAGTAATTGACCAGATGTCATGTGAGAGAGAGTGAATACCGTACTTGGTTTGCACAAACAAGAAACCAAGAGACAAGTTAAAAGGAAATAACGACGATTCACAAATAATATGTTTACCTCGGCATTTGATTGTGCCAATGCTATTAGGGGTGCTACACCTCCTCCTCGGCCAATTGCAATGCTACAAAAGAAGAAACATATACAAGATACATATTTTCTAAGTGGTAGCCAGAAGAAACCATACAATTGTTGTAACATGAACATTAAAAGTATTATATTATCAAATTAATACCTTTCATATTTTTCACTTTTTTCTTTTTTTTTTTTCTTTTAATTTTCAAATTAAGTACAAAATTAAAACCATTAATTTTTACATGAATGTGGGGATTGATCTTTCACTTTAAAAGGGATTGATTGTCATAACTTGAAAACACAATTAAAAGAATTATTCTCCTATTTACATTTCATACTATTATATAGTTTTTGGCAACTTGATAAATACTCGTTCTTTGTTTTACTTTGATCGTACCCATAGAAAGAGAAACGACAATGAGCTATATGAATTTTAATTCTAGCTGGATATCGAATCGATCATAACCACTACCTACATTCCAGGAAATTGTGCACCACAAATAGGAACTAATAAAGAGACCCGTGATCCCGTAGATTCTCAGTTTGAAATTGCTAAATCCCAGATTCTCTCCAGTGTTGAGATTCCATCTCTTCAAGAAACCTTTACTAGAGTACTTCGCACAGATTTCAGTGGTTCTGTTGCTTCATTTGTTCAGCCTTCTAGTGCTCTTATCAGTCACAATAGTAGAGGTAATACAAGAGGCGGGGGTACAGGTAATGGGGTTAATGAAGTCATAATAAAGGAGTTGTCTGCTACTACTGTCATGAGCCGTGTCATACCAAATACTCATGCTGAAAATTGCACAATAAATCCCAAAAGTCTCACTCAGCTCATGTTGCAGCTACTACTACTATACCCATCTCATCCTCTGAGAAGACCATTACAATTTCTGTGGATGAATTTGTCAAATTCAATCAGTACTAAGAAGCATTAAAGAACTCGTCTCACTCTACCTCTGCCAGTGCTGAGATAGGTGTCTCATCTCTTCTTCCTTGAAATGGGTCATTGATTCTGGTGCCACGGATGATATAACAGGAAATCCTAGTCTCTTCGCTACCTTTTAGTCGCATACATCTCTTTCCAATTTTACTTTAGCTGATGATCCTACTTCTTGTGTTCTCAGTTCTGGCACTATTAATCCAACTCCATTAATTTCCTTATTCTCTATCTTAAGTCTACCACAATTTTCTTTTAATTTGATGTTCGTGAGCAAACTTACTCGAACCTTAAACTTCTGTCCCATTTTCTCCTTATTACTATCTTTTTCAGGATCTTATGATGAAGAAGATTATTGGTAAGGGACATGAATCAAGTGGTCTCTATATTTTGGATATACAGGTGCCCAAGTCTACTGTGTGTTCTGGTGTTTTAACTCCTTTTGCAGTACATTGTCGGTCGGGACATCCATCTCTACCTTTGTTGAAGAAATTATGTCCTCAGTTTCAGAATGTGTCATCTTTAGATTATGAGTTGTATCAGTTTGCGAAACATCATCATCTGTCCTCAGATCCTCGAGTTAATAAAAGAGCTAGTTTTCCTTTTGAGTTAGTTCATTCCAATGTTTGGGGTCCTTGTCCTATTATGTCAAAAACTAGATTTCATTATTTTGTTACTTTTGTTGACGATTTTTCTAGTGTGACTTGACTTTATTTAATGAAGAATCATTATGAATTATTTTCTCATTTTAGTGCCTTTTGTGCTAAAATTATAACACGGTTTAATGTTTCTGTACATACATTGAGAAGTGATAATGCCGAATAATATTTTTTCGATTATTTTCAGACTTATAAACTTCGGAATGGTATTCTTCATCAATCCTCTTGCGTTAACACCCCCTCTCAAAATAGTGTGATTGAAAGAAAAATTAGACACATGGTTGAGACAACTAGGGCACTCATGTTCCAAATGCATGTTCCTAAACAATTTTGGGCTGATGCAGTCTCCACAACCTTTTTTTGATCAATCGTATGCCTTCATTTGTTCTTCATGGTGAGACTCCTTACAGTGTTCTTTTCCTCACTAAACCCTCATTTCCTATTGAACCAAAGATATTTGGCAGTACCTGTTATACTTGTGATGTTCGTCCCCAGGTAATCAAATTAGATCCTAAATCGTTAAAATGTATTTTTTTTGGTTATTCTCGTCTACAAAAAGGTCATCGATGTTACTATCCGAGTCTTAACAAGTACCTTGTGTCAGCTAATGTACCTTTCTAGAACATATTCCTTTCTTCTCCGCAACTAATACTTCCCTCAGTAAGGGCGAGGATGATGATTTGTTGATTTATCATGCCACTTACCAGTCAACTGATGTTATTCCTACACCTGTTGTTCCCATACCACCTCTACCTATTCGCCAGGTGTATTCCAGACAACAAAACTCTCCTGATGCATGTTAGGCACCTAACCCTTCTTGGGCATCGGATCCAGTGTCTAGTAATCTTGATCTACCTATCGCTCTTGGCAAAGGTAAACGTCAGTGCACTTATCATATTTCATCATTTGTTTCTTATGATCACTTGTCCTCTTCTTCATGCTCTTTTGTTGCCTCTATAGACTCTGTGACTCTTCCGAAAGCTATTCATGAAGCCTTATCCCATATTGGTTGGCGCAACGCTATAGTAGAAGAGATTAATGCTTTAGATACTAATAGTATTTGGGATTTAGCGAATTTACCTGTTAGAAAAAAGGCTACTGGATGTAAGTGGATGTTTGCAGTCAAAGTCAATCCTGATGGATCAGTGGCCAGACTTAAAGCTTGTCTTGTGGCTAAAGGCTATTCCCAAACTTATGGTGTGGATTACTCTGACACTTTCGCTCCTGTAGCTAAATTAGCGTCTATCGCTTGTTCATTTCTATGGCAGTTACACATAATTGGCCCTTACATCAATTAGACATCAAAAACGCTTTTTTACATGGTGATCTCCAGGAGGAAGTTTATATGGAGCAACCACCTGAGTTTGTTGCTCAGAGGGAGTGTGGGAAAGTGTTTCATCTTCAAAGGTCCTTATATGGTTTGAAACAGAGTCCACGTGCGTGGTTTGGAAAATTCAGTCAGGCAATAGAAAAGTTTGAAATGGGAAAGAGCAAGTCTGACCACTCAGTCTTCTACAAACAGTAGGAATCCAACATTATTCTTCTTGTTGTGTATGTTGATGATATTGTTATTACTGGTAGTGATATTAAGGGAATTTCATCTCTGAAGTCCTTTCTTCACACTCGATTTCAAATGAAAGTCTTAGGAGTGTTAAGTATTTTTTGAGAATTGAGGCAAGAAGCAAGAAAGGCATCCTTTTATCTCAGAGAAAATATGTACTAGACTAATTAACTGAGACAGGAAAATTGGGAGCTAAGCCAAATATTGCTCCAATGCTTCTTAATTTGCAACTTACCAACAATGGTGACCCATTTGAAGATCCTGAGAAGTATAGAAGACTGGTTGGAAAATTGAACTATTTTACATAGCTCGTCCTGATATTGCGTATTCTGTCAGTATTGTAAGTCAATTCATGTCTTCTCCAACAGTTCACCATTGGGCAGTTTTAGAACAGATTTTTTGTTATCTAAAGGGGACTCCTAAACGTGGGACATTGTACAGCAATCATGGACATGCCCACATCGAAGGCTTCTCAGATGCAGATTGGGCAAGTTCCAAGATTGATCGAAGATCCACTATTGGCTTTTGTGCCTTTGTTGGAGGAAATTTGGTCTCGTGGAAAAGTAAGAAGCAAAATATTGTGTCCCGATCCAGTGCAGAATCAAAATATAGAGCTATGGCACAATCTGTGTGTGAGATAATGTGGATACATCAGCTTTTAACTGAAGTTGGTCTCAAGGTTTCAATACCAGCAAAATTGTGGTGTAACAATCAAGCTGCTCTTCATATTGCTTCTAATCCTATATTTCATGAACGAACTAAACACATTAAGATTGACTGTCATTTCATTTGTGAAAAGGTGCGACAGAATTTAATCTCTACAGGATATGTGAAAATTGGAGAACAATTAGAAGATATTTTCACAAAGGCTTTAAATGGAATTCCGGTAGATTATATTTGTAACAAGTTGGGCATAATTAATATCTATATTCCAGTTTGAGGGGGAGTGTTATAGAATGTATAAATAGTAGAAATTATATTTCCTTAATTATAGGAATCCCTAATTAGGATCTTCCTAATATAGAATTCCTTTTTGTGTGTGTGTGTGTGTGTGTGTACCATCTCCCAAATTTAATTGTATGAGAAAATTATTTTTTTCTCTCCTAATTACAAAGATATAATGTAAAATGTTACGACCATGCCCTCTGAATTATACGCAATAGGCACTGTTCTATGCGTGCATCATCTTATATAAGAATCTTATGCCCACACTTACTACATGCTTTCAGGAAAAGATCATACTACATGTATATCAAGCTTTACATAATGAATTACATAATGTCACATGTCACTCTACCATTTGTTAGCTTATAGCACAATCAACTTTTTCATCCAATCTTTTCCCTCCATATCATAATATGTACTCCATTATGTATATTTTTTATGTACAAGTAGCAAAATCCTTCAAGAGAAATAGTGGTTATGGGATTGATTTAAAGAAAATGTGTTCGAAAATCAAGGAACAAGTTCAATCTCTTCATTTAAATCCTTGGCAAATACAGAATAAGTTTAAATGGAAAGCTCTTAAGAGTAGACTTTGAAAAAAAGGGTTCTTACTTAGTTAGTAAAAGGTTCTTAGTTAGTTAGTACCTTTCCCGATCAACGATGGCAATGCAATTATTTTCCTTGGAAGAGATGACAGGAAATGTATAGGCCCTAAAACCTAACTATTCTTTCTCATCATTACTCACAGATATAGCACTGATAAGCCCGATTGTTGATAACCCTACAATAGTTTACCCATAAGAATTGAGATCTGTGAAAACATAACTATATATCTTCCTATGCAGTAAAAACTATTATCTTGGATGGAACATCCAGGGAGGTACTCTATTAGGCACCCTACACCTTGTGGGATCTCGTTAGCTACCCCAGAGTTCGTATATAAGAAATGCCATATGGCAGGCTATTTGCTTGTTCTTGGGAGAAGCACAAGCCCATCAACTGTGACCGAGATGACTGAGCAGGATATTGGCTCTGAAGTGCATCTCAAACTACAATGTGGATTCACTCAAATCATTTTCCTCTAAGTCCACTAACGGAGTTAAGCTGATTGAATATCACAAAACGATAAACACTGCAGTGCAAGTTTTAGTGTTGAAATTTATTATAACTATCTAGGACCATCAGTAGCAGAAGTAGAATAATGCAAATAATATTAAGTCTTTGCTCATTCATACCTATTAACTTCCGAGACGGACAATCCCCACAAAGCACCAGCAGCCCTCTCCTGAAGGCCATGAGAAGCATTTGAGCAAGACTGTGCAAGAGCCACCTACAACCACATAACAACTGTCAATGTGTATGTGGATGTTTTCCTTTTTTAGAATTAAAATCTAATTTATATTTGACAATGATCAGCAATATAACACTTGACCTGAAGAAAAGGTATGAAAAAAGTTGCACAAAATATATAGCACGCAAAACTGGCGTATGCAAAGAAATTGAGTTGATGACTTTATGAAGAGTAATACTTCTGGCAATCTTGGATAGAAGTCATCTTCAATTCATTGAAATATTACGTTGGAAAACAGAGACATAATCAAGAATGCCGCATAAAATTGATAATACAGCATGGGATAATTTATAATTAAATTCAATCAATGGTTTCAAGAAATTTGCTGTTAGGTATATACAGGTTCCAAGGACTGTGTTAATACAAACAGGTAAATTTTCTATAGATTAGGAGCCGAAAGAAAAGAAATACAGAGATAGGCATGAAATTATCTAGCATTTTCAAAGTTTGAAGGTTTTGGACTTTTTGAGTAGTTGAAAGATATTTCACAAACCATAAGTAGACATAAAATTCCTGATTCTCACATTCTATCCTCGTGAGCAACTAAGGATACCAGGTTTCCTTGATAATGCAATCATATTATAACCAGTTGATGCTAAGAGGAGAGGCACCTATGCTCATATACTAGGTAGGCACTATAACTGATGCAGAACAAGTTATATTTTCGATTTAATTAAAAGAGTAAAAAATCGTTTCCAGAGTAATGAGAAATATTCATAATACCATCAGCAGTACGACGCCTGGCTGATAGAACAGACCAACTGCATGCATTTGAGGATGAAAGGATAACAAAATCATAAATGCAAATCTACCTTAAATAGCGTTATAGACTGGCATAAGCTCATGCATATATTTATGGTTGGGTTTTTTGGATAATTCTACCCATTTCTCGTAGGTTCCAAGTTTAAGCTGACTGTGGAAACCTTACTGAGAAGAACATGATGAAATACATATACCGGGCTAGAAGAGAAAATACATATCTGAAGTAAAAGAAATGAAAAAATAGAAGAGAAAACAAGAACTTGAAGATTTTAGTTGCCATAGACTTCTAGTTTTAAGTAAAAGTAAAAAGGTATCACATAGCTTGTGTGGATTTTCGATCGCCACAACAATTAAATGATATTTAGACTTCAATAAAGTACAAAAATGTAAGAACATCTCCAAGAGGCTCTCTTTTTTAAAAGAGCATATTATGCAATTTAAAGAACATCAATTTAGAGAATAATTTTTTTTTTTAAGTACTCCAACGGGCTCTTTAGATTTAACACTTAATTTTACTAATCCCAAAAAATATTTATTGTTTTCCCTATCTTTTATCTTCATTAGGCTTTCTACTAAATTATTATATTATTTTCCTCCATTGAAAATTGAAATACTTTGAATACATTAAATTATAGAAAATGGGTTTTGAAGGGCCAAAATCACTCTCTAAATTAAAATGTTAATTTAAAAGTCTCTACGAGCATAACTTTAAGGATTGACTCTTTAAAATAGAGAGTATCTTATATTTAAAGAGTCTTTTGAAGATACTCTAAAGTTTCTAGAAATAGTAAAACTCTATTGTAGAAGAGGAAGATCTTACACAAATTAAGCCCTACTTAACCTTACAGCATGTTGATCTCTGTTATATATTTTCCAGGACAACTTGTTTCAGATAAGATGACATAATGTGTCGGCTGAAGCGCTAGTGAAAGCGACCAAATTTTATTATTATTTCCACTAAGTGGCAGTATATAAGTTTAAACCCATAGCCTAAGCACAAGTCTGTTATGAACTTTTATGCCAGCCTTTTTCTTGATAAATTTTATGGCTTTCAGATTTTGTTGAATCAATATTGAACTTACAAGTCGTTAAAAGACGTCTTACAATTTTTTCTAAAATAATTTTAACTAGGAAGCATAACATTTTATCTATGGATGTTGTGACAGACAATTTAAGATCAAGCAGAAGACCGCCATACCAATGCCTCAACGCCACCAACTGCTGCAATGGCTTCTCGATTTCGGTCATCAAAGGATAGATTCCATAATGCACCAGCAGCTTCTTGCCTACATATTAGCCAATGGCATTATATTTTCATTCTTACAAGCAACAATTATTCTCCGAATGAAAAATAAATAAATATACACACACACACACACACACATAATGACCTAATCCATGCGAAATTGAAAACAACTTGAAAATAGTGACCAAGACAACAGCAAAATACACAACCTGACACCATCATGAGGAGAGTGGATGAGTTGTACAAGAGCTTCAAGAGATCCTGTCTCTTGTCCAACAGCAGCATTGTTACCATTGCTATCTCCATGAGCAGCCAAATTTGCCAAGGCACGAGCTGCCTGGATAATAACCTCATGGGATATTGGTCAGAAGCATGATACAATTTCTTTCATATGAATATCTTTACAAATTGGAGAGCAATTGAAGGTAAAACAACAATGAAGTTGCATCTACAGGTTCGAAGAACTCATAAGCAATTCCCTTTCAGACTAATGCAAGACAGTGCATTGAAAATGAAGCGAATATGCGCGGGAACTGATTTTAACAAATTGCTTTAAAAGATGTAAAGATTAAAGATTGGCCAACATACTACAAGAAATAGCCTTCTGAAATTACATAAGAAATATGCATCATCAATCTTGTAGATTTGGCCAATGTTTGGTCCCCATTATTTCCAAAATACATTTTTCCCTATCTTATTTTCTACCCCACATTCTTCAATAAAATAATATTAAACGCAAATCCAAAACTTTTCTTTATTTTTTAACCACACATTCTCCATCAAAATCCTATTACAAAATGTATTTTGGTAAAAAATGGGGCTGAAAGAGGTTCTTAATGATTAATGCACATAAGTACAATTTATGCTTTTGTACGTATGGTAAATAACTTAGATAGCTACACACAATCTAATTTCTTAAAAACAGCTTGTTCAGAGGGTTATTATATATTTTCACATTAAAACTAGCATCTTATATAGGAAAAGACTTATACAGTGAGAGACGTACAGAGGAGAACATTCAAGCAAGAAATGCCTACAAAAACAAAATAAATGATGATCCTTTGATAAAACCTCATGGGACACAGCATGTGAAATGATTGGAGTAGTGTTCTCTGACCAACTGATCCTAGTATACTGAATTTGGTTATCAATTAAGTACTAACTACTATTAGCACAGACACCCTTTTAAAATAAAGACAGTTAACACATAAGAAACACACATTTTTCCTACTGTATTTTAAAGTTTCCTGTACTTGCAATCCAACCATGTTGTCCTAACTACTGGCTAGTAACGCACTCTCAAAATCATGGTGTCTAACACGTATGAGATACTCATTCTTTAAAACTGTAATCTAATGCAACCTGCTCTTGCACTCCTTCATCCTTGCAATTTCGAGCAAGTGCTACCAAAGCACGGACACCGCCCACTGAAGAAACTTCCATGCTGCATTTATCATCTGCTGCCAAATTTGCCAATGCACCAGCCGAACGTTCCTGAAACATACAAAGAACCAATGACAACCCACTTGAGCACCAATAAATTAACTCAGTTTTGAAAGGATCTATTTTTGTATCAGACCAACACAGGACAAAGTTACAAACAGGAACTTAAGTGCATCTGGCTCATACCAAAACTCCTTCACCACCAGTGGTCCTTGACCATTTGAAGATGAGATCAACTAAAGCCTTTACACCACCAGCTTCAGCAATAACACCCTGGAAGAAATTGAACTATCACATTAAAACATAGGCAGGAAATCGTAAGAAAATATAATGCAGATCAAATAACAGAAAAACAACCTTGTGCTCTTCACCGACAGAAAGGTTCCACAGCCCTCCAGCAGCCTCTTCTGCAACCAATTTGTTGACGGAACCGGCAAGATTTGCAAGAATACTGATTCCTCCTTCCTCTGCCACAGCTTTTGCAACATTAGCGTTCACTGACAGGTTTGCTATGGCCTACATATTTAAGGAAAACGAATATGAACCAGTTTTACTCATTGTAAGTAATGATAAAGCTTAACTGATCTGCTGAATATTGATTTACTATTATCTTAACTTTTGGAAAAACAGGAGTAAGAACAAAGTTACATTGAAGGTGAACAACAGGGGCCAATCAGTGTCCAAGCAATGTGAACATAAGAAATAACCCTGCTGGCTTACAAGTTACAACAGCAATATTAGTAGAAATCTTACCTTAGCAGCTTCTGACTGAAGCCCCTCCCGCCATGACCTAGCAAGATTTAGGAGAAGGTGTATGCCACCATCACGCATAACTGCGTCGGCCCTTCCAGTGTCTATACTAGCATTTTCATCATCGATGACGACAAATGTTGCAAGAGCCGTGGCTGCCCTTTCTTGAACTTCCTCCTGGGCACTACGTATGAAACTATGCAACAAGGTCGAGCCTTGGTTGAGCCAGAAATTATCTAAACCTGGTGGATTGCCCTCAGAAACACGTAGAAGTGAATGGGAAAGGATCCATTCCAGCCAATTCATGATCCCCTCTGATTCCCTATCCTTGGTTTTAAACTTTCTCCAATTCAAGCAAACATTCCTTCTGTCTTCTGAAGTATTGGCAGATAGGGTACTTACTCCTTTAAGAATGTCCGTGAAGACAGCAAGCAACATTTTACCTTTGTGATTGTTGTTGGAAATGAAGGTCGCATCATTCTCAAGTGCTGGACAATTCAAGGCACTCAAAACCTTCAAACTATGGAAGGACGAAAAAAATCTTAAAACAGTACTTGGGTTAATGTCAGTTCTAGAAACATCCAAGCCTGTCAGGTGAGGCAGCTTACTCCAAGGCTGTAAAACCAAATTCCACTTAATATTAGTTGTTCCTGCAACTGAGAGGAAGCAAACTGATCCAACATTTCCAAGGGCAGTCTCATCAACTTTCCGACAGTCAATGAATCCAATATCTGTTAAATTCAGACAATGCTTTGCCAAAGCGTTGATAGCATCTGCATCCACTTCATGAATACCTGAGAGCCGAAGTTTCTGCAGTTGTCTACAACAAATTGCCACTGCTTTAACTGCATCGCTGCTTATCCTTTCACAGAAATCTGGTCCAATCTGAAGGCACTCTAAAGCTTCATGTCGGGCTGCAAGTACAGAGAGGGTAGCATCAGTCATTTTTTTGCAACGGTCACCACTAATCTCACGTAAATTCCTAGCTTGAAGATTTATAATTGCATTGGCAGATTCAAGACCACGAAACCGAAGCTTCTGAAGATTCTGGCACCGAGAGGCAAGTGAAGCAGCAGCAAAAGTGTCACACTTGTGGGGCCGCAGATCCAATTCCTGCCACAAACATGGAGATTTACCCAGAATCCTCCATGACCGACAGGTTGATGACAGGTTAGCCCGGTCACGGTAATTCAAACATGAAAATAGCTGAATTACTGTATCATCAGGTAACCTGATCCAATCAAGTATCCCTTTCCTGTCCAAACTCAAATTCTCATCAATCTCCACACAATCCACTTTCTCTTTGCCCCTCCTCGCAATCCTCCTCCGCACCCTTCTACTCATACTTCAATGGTTTAGTCACAGAAATTATTACGCAACCAGGATTTCTATCCCAGAAATGAAGCACACAACGATAACTCTGAACTCAGTAATAAAGCAGAAGTATGTTAACAGCCTGATAATCTACCTTCAAAGCACTGCACTTTTGCTAGATTTATGAACCATGAAAAACAGAAACCACTATTCCAGTATCGATTCCAGTCTATAACTCATTTCATTGGTGGAGCTGAACAAACTCTATACAAATTTCCTATGACCTGAAATCATAGACATTCAAATAACTAGAGGTCCACCACATGCAATCCTAGAAGTAAGCATCCTTTGCACATTAAATAATCATTGTTAAGAAAAAACTGATGAACAACCAAATACCCAGAATTCAAAAACACATCAATCTCAAAATACAAAGCCTGAAACCAGTAAAGTATATTAAAATGATAAAAAATGAATACCCTCTAGCCTCAAAAAAACCTAAATCTCGAACCTACTGGTGGAATTCACAAGCAGACCCAAAATCTTAATCTGTACACAAGAACAGAATATCATTATTCAAACAATTCACAAAATTTTAAGACATAGATAGCATAATCTGTAATATTAAATGCACAACAGTGTGTAAAAGTTAATTGCATTTCCCTTCCAACCCAAGTATTCTAAGTTCTAACCTCGTAGGCCTTGTAATAAACCCATAAATTTTCCAGTGCTGGAATGAATTCTGTTGCCCATCGAGAGAACAATTGCAATCAAGAAGCTGCAACATATCCCACTAATACCCAGATGCAACAAAATATAGATGGATGCTATATAGCTATGTAGGTAAAAATTTATTCTCTAGATAGATATCGATAAGTATATGTAAATCTGTATATACATAGGAAGAAAGAAGACAAAGGTGAGGAAGGGTCGGAGAGAATTCAGGGTAAGAATATCAAAGAACGCAGAACCAAGGCCTCAAACAACTTGTACGCTTCTTTCTCTCTTTCTCACTCCCACGCACCCTATTATAAGTCCCTCACGTTGTGCTCAAGTGTAAGAAATATACCTTGGGGAAATTTTAGTGAAATGGACTTAAATGCTCCATTATCAACCATTATATCAGAAAGAATTACAGAGAGTAACTATTGGAGTACAATTATTAGCACCTTCAAATCTGAATTTCATTTTGCCAAAATGAATACATGTGTTTCTAAGTTGGAAATGAAATGTTAATGTGCTAAAATTCGAGGTAGTAGAGTATTAATGAATCCTAAGCTTCTACTAGTGCTGTCACGAATGCTCGGCCAGCGGCATTGCATATAGGTATTTGTGTATTCTCAAAAGTTAATGCATGCGAGACTTGTAAGTGAGATGATTAACAATTTATGGGTTGTAACGTTTAGCCCAATAAGGAGAGCACATTTGATGTAGTTATTTGTATGTTTTTTTACTAGATAAAATGTGTTTATGGACAACTTATGAAACATAAACCTCTCTAATCGTTATAGTTTGGAACTTAGTCACCACAATGCTCTTACATATGCTCTATGACTCGTTATAATATCCGCTCACTTCTTATCCACGTATAAAATGTGACAACATGAGCTACAAATTGAATACATATGTATGTTGATCCAAAATTATTCTATTTTTATCATCTTCGTATCTTTGTTGCTAGCATTAATCATTTTGTTCCTAACTTAAATAAACAAGTACCTTCATGGAACTCTCTAACATCTTTCATAGCACTTTCTTTCGTTTTCAAAGAAGAGGAATCGAAAGAGCAATATGGATAACTGGACTTCAATTTTGAAAGTGAAAATGAAAATAATTTGAACTTGTATTAGGTCAAATAATAGTGTAACTGTATAAGATTATCTAATATTGTGTAATAAATATGTCACGACAATAATCAGCATCTTTTATACCCTTTGATTTTATACAACTCCAATTTTTTTTTTTTTTTTTTTGGGGCTACCAAATAATATAATAAACTCGTAGATTATATCAAATTTTTATGAACCTTAAAAAGTTCACAGAGGAATTGAAGCATGACAAGCTACGACCAATTGATGCATGCGTAAACAGATTAATTAAACAAATATAGTTGAGCACAAAAATTTAAAAGACTTGAGAGATGAAGGTTAATCTCCTTTCTAAATCCTCACAAAAATTCCAGTATTCTTTTGTTGTTCCCATAATTTCCCGTGGCACCTATTTTCCCATATTGAGCAAAATATTTACTCAATTTGTAATTAAATTATTCATTTTTAATTTTTTTTTTTTTTGGAGAAAAATTTGATTGGATGAATAAATTATCGAGTGTAGAATTGTTTTAAGGTATCAAAATAACTTATTTATTATTTTCGTTATGATATGCGTGCAAGTACATCGTTCTCTAGTAGTCAACAGAATGACAATATCACACGTTACACATTGATGGACTACTTTCCAAACTCAACATACCATAAACGTTACTTTTCATTGAAACAACGAATAATAAAATAAAAGCGACTCGCACAAAAGGAAGATTTGATCGTGCTGAATCTAGATAGCCCGACCCGCCATGCTTGAGAAGTAACATTAGTTACAAAATTTATTAAATATAATATCTCCATATTTAGTAATTTTACTGGCTCAATGCTAGTTCATTTAGTTACGCCATTTCAGTTGTGATCCTCCTCTTCAGGTTTAGTTGTCAAGGGTCAGCCTGTGGCTGAAGACCGGCCATGATCAGCTGCATACAACATCGGAATAAAATCCAATGGTCCTTCTCTTGCAATCTTGAATGCTTAGTAATTCGACATCGAAAACTTCAAATTGCTTTGAGCTGAAAAATGTGGAAGGTCCTACCTGTTGAACATGAAAACGCCCACCTCGTAAATAAACAAACCACTACGGAACTATAACAGCAACAAACTAAGCTCTTTTCCCGATAAGTAAGAGGCTCGATTAATTTCTGTGCTACTCCATTCCGTTCATTGCTAAATCTACTTGAAGATATAATGTAAATAGATTCCTAACAACTACCACAAATTTATAATTTTGTTCTCCCGAGATGGAGAAGGGAGAAACTATCGTACTGTACGACATGCTGTAATTGTGTCAGCAATATGAAGTTCGATATGAATTCACGTTTTTATTTGTCTAAGGCTGCCTTAAGTTTTTATCCACACCAAGATTTAACCTTGATTAATATTTCATACGAGCAACTGCTATCAAACCCTCTACCGTCTAAAACAAAAGGCGGTTTGGTGACATTATGCTTACGCACATTATAAAACGTGGGACTTTGCATTTATCCATGTCTTCATCTGAGATAAGATCAACCATTTCTAAATGTTCAAGAATTGGAGCTAGTGACTGAAATGAGAGAGAATTCAACTGACACTCATTGGACCATGTGAATCAATATGGAAGAAGTTAAAAACCACCGAGTAGAGAAACTTAGGAAGTTCACAACATGAACAAACTAACAATCAAAGAAGTTAATTCAACACATTCACATGACAGGCTTCTTTACCAGTCTATGAAAGATCAAAGAGAAAATGAAAGAATCAATTTCATTATATGGATAAATAAGTTATGCAAAGAAAGACAAATTACTTACTGGTGGTCCCAGCTCCGGAGGAATAACTATCCTCCGTTTCCCCCCGGGTTTCATGTCTCGGATTCCTTCCTCAAACCCTATGTTGAAAATTTTGCTCAGTTACTATATCTCAATTAGAAAAAAATAGCAAAATTTCAGTTGTTACTTTCTTGTTTTTATCACCTGGAATTAATGCATTAGTACCCATTCTGACTTTTGCAGGAGAACCTTGTAAGTATGTACTGTCAATACGGCGGCCGGACTCATTATAACCAATATAGTGAAATGTCACCTACCAGGGAAAAGAAAGCTGAAGAAATCACCACATCTAGGAAGTAACATATAATTTGAGCGACATTGTGAAAACTCATTATTAAAGCCTACAGACGATTCAAATTTGTCCTCACAATTTCACTACAGGATAGAATATGCACTCTAAAATATTCACTTTTCATTTTTTGGTCCAAGACACCATAAACAAAAAATTTAAACTAATAATTTGAAGCAAACTGTTAAGGTTTGAGTTAGTCTCAATCAAATAAATACGGAACATTTTTATGTTCCAACTTCATAATCAGTGATAAACTCTGAGGAAAGCAAGTCACAAACATTTCTAGAAACAAGTAAAAACAAAGAAAAACCTGTTGACCATCCTTTGGACAATCACCTGTACCAGCTGCTATGTCCCACAATATGAGACCCGAGTCGCGTTTAACATATTTGTCCGATGTCACTACGTTTACCGTAAAACCTGAACCAGATAGAAACAACAACGTTCATGTCCTAGAGATCAATAAGAATGGTGGGGAGAGATTGGAATCAACAAGTTACTACCAAAAATTTCTATCATTAACACAGTTATAAGAAAAGAACGAACCTTCTCTTACAAAATTAGGGAAATCATCAGGCACATTATTTTCTCTCTGTATACGCTTGTTTTGTTCTAGTAAGCGTTTCTCGTCGTAAGGATTTTGTTTTTTCGTCTTTCCAGAGGATGGCAAAGCTGTAGATAAGCTAGAGGCAACCAGGAAAACTAAGAGAAGTCTCCGCCTTTCATTCTCCTCAAAGTGCAAGATGCTTTTAGCCCATTTTCTAGCCATGGAAAAGTGTATATAAGCAACTGAACATGAAAACCAAAAATCAAACGCAGAGGACTAAGAACAAATCAAGAAGCATTCGATCAAGCTTATCAATGATACCCATTATTTGGCAAATTGTAAAGTGAGCAAGATGACACTGTGAGATTCCTCCGAGCAGAAAACAATCCAAATGTTGGACGGCCTGGAAGATTTATGCCCAAATAAATTATACAATTGAGTGAAACGAAAAAGAAATAGAAACTGAAGAAGATTATGGAAACTGTTGCATAACAAGAGACATCATAAAGAAAGTAGTAAAAAAAAACAGAGTAATAAACTTACAGAAAAACATAGGACCTCCAATAACAACTCCAAATTTTTAACAATAGAATATGTCAAGAACAAAGGGACTTAACTTGGATTGCATCAAACACGGCAATCATGCAAGAAGTAAAGGATGAAAATGAAATGGAAAAATAATTCCACAATACAGAACATATGGCATCATTTTTCTATCATGGCCTATATTCTTATTTGATATTAAAACTGGCCCCATTTACCGGCTAGAGCCTTAGCTTCCGTTTGGGAAGAATTTATAAACAATTTAATTTATAGAAAGATAGAAATGAATGGTGGATAAGTGGATGCCACTTGTAGGTCCAGCGGAATCTATAGTTGACTATGAAGTTGATTATTTATAAATGAATTATAACTTAGCAGGACACTGGGCTTAGAAAAGTCCAAATAGGAAGGAATATAATTATGAAGTAAAGCAACATGTATACTCCATTTACTCTTTCTATTTCACCATTTATAAGAATGGAAAGTGGGCAACATTGTGCTACCACTGTGATTAGCAACCATCCAAGAATATCCGATAACAAAAGAAAGTTTCACTCAAAAACCCGATTTTGGCAGCCCCAGCCAATTTTATTCATACGCTAAGCTACATTTATCCACAATATTACTATAATTGACTGTCCAAGAATATAGAAAAACAAAATTGATATTTAGAACGCGATTCTGGCACTAGCTGCTGATTTTCTTATCAGAGAATTACCTAAAGCGGAAATGGGGACTCTTAAATTTGTTAACTACGTATCTATCAGTGTCACAATAGTAACACACCAGCATAAATCCACTTCAAAGAACATTCATCAATTAGTAAGATTTTGGGAATCTTGATAGAAAAATGTAATTCAAGAGCGAGAGACTTACAGAAAAAAGAAGCCCTGTTGGAGAGAAGGGGAGTAGAAGACAAGAGCATGATTTTGTAGTCGCAAAATTCAAGCTTTCATAGCATAATTATATTCCTTGGACAAACCAACAAGACTGCAAGAAAAATTGGCCAGCACGGATAGCTCAACTTTATCTTCAGTTGGTAAATGACAAATACAATTAGCTCCCTTAATATTACGCTATAGCGGTGTACGACTTTTAGTGGTAAATTCAGATTGAAAGCCACGAGTTTATTGGAAATTTTGGAGAACTGGAGGGGATAGAACCAAAGAGGAGCCCAATTGGAAAAGAAGAATGGAAAAATTGCACTGTTGGAACGCGGAAGCTAAATTATCAAGTTTAATTCAATAAATAAAATCATTTAAATGTTCACGTGCCTATTATATCAAGAATAAAGTATTCAAATTTTTTATCTAAATTCGATGGTCAATTCTTGAATAAATTCTTAATCATGAATTTTCAGCTTTTAATTATAAGAACTTGATGTTTCAAACCTCCAAATTTTTTATAATATTCTCAAAAGTCAAGACCACACCAATGAATGAGCACCTTCTTTTAATTAAATCAAAAAATTAATTCTTAAACTGGACAATTGATAAAAGCAAGAAAAATAATTTTATCATATTTTATCTCAAATTATATATTATGATTGTTGTAGGATGATTGTGTCAATCTGGCCTCTATTTATAGAGATAAAGATATTACAATCCATGGACAATAATAATTCTAACTTCAAATAAGAGTTCTAATTAAAATCAAGTAAAAGTTTTAATTAAAGTCTAAATCCAATTATTTCACATTTAATTTCATGTGTGGCTCTAGAATTTTAATTTCAATTATAATTAAGTTTACAGCTTTCATAATAATTACAACTAAATATAAAACTTTATTGTAATTACAATTAAACCTAAAATTATTATAATTACCGTAATTAAGTTTAAATACTTTATAGAGCTACTACAAGAATTTGATTGGACATATATTACTCAAGCTTCAATAATTAGATCATATCTAGCCGACCTTAGACCAACCAAACTAATTATTAGTCTTAGCCTTTTCCACTAAAGACAAAATATTGAACTCTCAGAATATATAAGATCACGAAACCAATAAATCTGTAATACTTTCTTTTGGCCTGCCATATATATATTTTATTCTCGTCCGAGATCCGATATTTAGGTACGAACATAAATGATCATTTTACCCTTCTAATTTTTCTCGCTAACTTAAGCATCTTTTTTTCAACGGTCTCGTGAACTAATAACATATATCAAAGTTTAGTCGTCGCTAAACACTGAACTCAATTTTTAACCGTTCAATAGAAAATATTTAAATAGTCACTCTATCCATTTTTAGGGTGACAATTCTTGATACGAATTCATCTTCTCTATTTCGCTCATTTTCAAGTTCCCAACTTATTGAAATATTTGATCAATCAAATTGATCTCACCCACTGATGAATCAAAGAACCATTAAAATCACGAAAAAAATATACAAAATTTTGTCAAGAGATTTAGATAAAATATACAACAGTCAAGTGAAATTTAATCTCTACACGATCATGCTATAAAATTAAATTCGACACTTGATCCGTTCAATACACTTGAAGTGTATTAGTGTCACATTTAATTGTTTCTATAATAAGGACAAATTACAAACCTGAATCGTAAATCGTTTAACACTACAACTTTTCAATACAAGGTGTCAACCCTTTGACTTAGGTTGTGAAAAAATTATTTATGATCAAACTATAAATTGTGTCATGATGTACTTCTCAATCCAAGTACTCAATTTATATTATCACGAGTGATTATAGACACTTTAATTCGTATGTTCAATAATAAATAATCGCAATAAATAAAGGAAAAACAATTTTATTTAATAATATTATTATTTTTACATCTGCAAAACTATAGCATGCAGCCCTACAATGGACTTTATTTATTGATCTGGTTTCAATATAATCTCCAACTTATCAATTGTGCAACATTAATGACAGATTCATTTTTGAACAGTGACATGGTCTCCCTTCTTTTTTTTTCTTTTTTATTTTTTTTTGTGCGGGT